AATCAGTGAAAGCACAAAAATGGATCACTTTTTTACAACTGGGAGCTACACCAAAAACCCCACTGCAAAAAGCTGTATTGACAAATATTGACACTGATAAAAATGTTGCAACATTAAATGAACCACATGAACAAAGTGTATTTGAATTAGACACAAGTGAGAGTCAAGACAATGTTGATGACAAAAACAAAAGTATTAATGTACCAAAGAGTCACTCCAAATGTGATAATACAAATGAGCTGATTCAAAGACAAAGTGACATTGCTCATCTTATTATTTCACAACAAAAGCTGTCACTGTTACCACCCAGAGAAATAGCAACATTTGATGGTAATCCTCTCACACACTTGTCATTCATTCATGCATGTGAACATTTGACTGAGGACAAAACTGTGGATAATCAAGACAGACTTTACTATTTGGAGCAGTTTACCACAGTCTCCAGAAAGATCTTGTCCGCAGCTGTTTGCATGTGGATGTGAATAGAGGCTATGCTGAGGCAAAACGTCTCCTAAAAGAACATTTTGGTAATGAGATTAAGATTTCAGGAGCTTATTTGGAGAAGGCATTGAACTGGACTGCAGTTAGAGCTGAGGATGGGAATGCATTACATGTCTATGCAGTGTATGTAAGAGGATGATGTAATGTTCTGCAGGACCTACAGCACATGGATGAGCTGGACAACTCATCCAATTTGAGACTGATTNTGTGTGTTCAGGTGTGTGTGTGTGTGTTGTTGATATAAACGTGTGTGTGTGTTGTGTGTTTCAGGGTGTGTGTGTGTGTGTTGTGTGTGTGTGTTGTGTGTGTGTGTTGTTTCAGGTGTGTGTGTGTTGTGTGTGTGTGTGTTGTTGATATAAACGTGTGTGTGTGTTGTGTGTTTCAGGGGTGTGTGTGTGTGTGTGTGTGTTGTTGATATAAACGTGTGTGTGTGTTGTGTGTTTCAGGGTGTGTGTGTGTGTGTGTGTGTGTGTTGTTGATATAAACGTGTGTGTGTGTTGTGTGTTGTGTGTGTGTGTTGTGTGTGTTGTGTGTGTGTGTGTTGTGTGTTTCAGGGTGTGTGTGTGTGTGTTGTGTTGTGTGTTTCAGTGTGTGTGTGTGTGTTAAACGTGTGTGTGTGTTGTGTGTTTCAGGGTGTGTACTCGAGTCCTTCAAACCTGCGTCACACGTTTAAGGTGAGTTTGTGTTTTTAGTTCCACAGCGCCCCCTGCTGCCGCCGCTTCTCTCGCTCCGTCTCGTTTCTTTTCTTTCTCCTTTCTTTTTTTTCTTTTCTTCCGTGGTCAGGTGTCGGAGAAGCAGTTCTTCCTCACCTGTCTGTCGGCCCTGTCGAAGGTGCGCTCCTGGCGGGAGGTGGACTCTCTGTTTCAGTCTCGCTCGTGGCTCGGCTTCAGTCGCAGGAAGTGTCCGGTGAGCTTCAGCCGCGTGGTCGACGTGCTGCACAAGAACTCCGCCCCCGCGCACGTAAGCCCCGCCCACACACACACACACATGTAAGCCCGCCCACACGCACACCTAAGCCCCGCCCGCACCACACACACACACACGTAAGCCCGCCCACACACACACACGTAAGCCCCGCCCACACACACGTAACCCGCCCACACACACCACACACACACGTAAGCCCCGCCCACACGACACACCTAAGCCACACGCACACACACACGTAAGCCCGCCCGCACACACACACACACCTAAGCACACACACACAACCACACACACACACACACACACACCGTAAGCCCACACCACACACACCACACACACACACCCCCCCGCCCACACACACGCACACACACACACACGTAAGCCCCACACACACACACACATACCTAAGCCCCGCCCACACACACGTAAGCCCCGCCCGCACATGCACGCACACTTAAACCCCGCCCACACGCACACCTAAGCCCCACCCACCGGTCCAGTCCTGGTCAGTAAAAGACCAGTTGAGATCAGATTTTGGTCCAAATTCAAACTCTCCATGTCCCTCCACCAACAAAACCTGCTCTGGTCCTGGTCTAGTCCTGGTCTAGTCCTGGTCCAGTACTTGTCTCTGGTCCTGGTCTAGTCCTGGTCTGGTCTCTTTCAGGTCCTGGTCCAGTACTTGTTCAGTCTGGTCAGGTACTTGTCTGGTCTGGTCTAGTCCTGGTCCAGTACTTGTCTCTGGTCCTGGTCTGGTCCTGGTCTGGTCTCTTTCAGGTCCTGGTCCAGTACTTGTCTCAGGTCCTGGTCTGGTCCTGGTCCAGTACTTGTCTCAGGTCCTGGTCTAGTCCTGGTCTGGTCTCTTTCAGGTCCTGGTCCAGTACTTGTCTCAGGTCCTGGTCTAGTCCTGGTCTGGTCTCTTTCAGGTCCTGGTCCAGTACTTGTCTCAGGTCCTGGTCTAGTCCTGGTCCAGTACTTGTCTCAGGTCCTGGTCTAGTCCTGGTCTGGTCTCTTTCAGGTCCTGGTCCAGTACTTGTCTCTGGTCGAGGACTCGGAGCTGCGTTTGACTTTGGCCCAAAAACTCAAATGTCACGACATCGTCATCAACGTAAGTCAGATGCCCTCCCCGGGTCTCCGTTTGTCTCCGTTTGTCTCCGTTTGTCTCCGTTTGTCTCCGTTTGTCTCAGTTTGTCTCCGTTTGTCTCAGTCGTGTTGTTGTGCCCTTTTTGTTTGAGGAGGTTTGTAACTCACGTAAAAAAATCTGCACTTGTGGAGACCCAGATCTGTTTATCCATTTATTTTAAAGAACAAATAATAATAATAATAATAATCATAATAATAATAATAATATAATAATATATAATATAATAATAATAATCATAATAATAATCATAATCATAATAATATTCTCTGTGGTTGACTTTCCTTTTAATATAACGTGTTTGTGTGTGTAATTGTGTGTGTAATTGTTGTAGCTTTAGCAAAACAATTACCATATTTTAACAGTAGAGGGAGACATAGAATTTCAAATTTAAGTTAAATAAAAAAATTGCCAGTATTATCATATCATATAATTTTAAATCAATTTAAGCCAACCAGAAGATCTTAAGTTTCTTAAGTCTCAAAAGACAATATCATCACCAAAGAAGATCTGAAAAGTTGGCCACACCTTGATCGTGTACAACTTGATGAGATTGACGCTGATATTGAACTTCTCATTGGGACAGATATTCCCAAAGCACTGGAGCCGTGTTGTTAACAGTGAAAACAATGGGCCATGTGCAGTTAAGACACTCCTGGGCTGGTTGTGAGTGGACCATTAAAACAGACAGAACACTCTGGGCCAATCAGTGACAAGCAACAGGATTTCTGTTCATAAAGCAATATAACCAGGATTTTTGTGAAAATAGATATGAGGAGAAAAATGAGACGTCTGTGGAGGATAAACAGTTCATGTCAAAAGCATCAAACAATGTTACTCTAAGAGAAGGACATTACTACTTACCTTTACCGTTCAAAAATGAAAACAAGATGATGCCCAACAACATTGAAGTAGCCAGAGAACGCTTACAAGGTCTGAAAAAGTGCTTCATAAAGACTCCAACTATGCTGCTGAGTACACTGCATTCATGCAGGACATTCTCAAAAGGGGTACGCAGAAAAGGTGCCTAATGAACAGATGAAAGGGAAAAATGGCCATGTATGGTACATACCACATCATGGTGTCCACCACAAGAAGCTCAAGTTAAAGGTTGTATGGAGGATTTTTTTTGTTTCAAATTGTCAGTGATAGATTATAGATGCAGTCGCCTTGTAATTATGATGACCAAAAAAAAGAGAATAAAAATTCATCAACTCTGGACGTGGTGGGGCTAAACATTGCCAATAGATAACGACACTGTCTCGTTATCTGTGAGCTGACAGGCTGTCAATCAAACTCCCTACGTTTCTAGTGTAACTGACTTGCCTGCGCCGCCGGTACGTGGTTTATGTACGACACAGACGCTGTTTACTCCACCAACGCAACAGTTCTTAGCGGCTTTTTTTACCTATATCTTCCTCGCAGTTCACACAAAGTTTGTTTCAATGACAGACAAGAATCCAGGAGCAGTTCGCCGCAAAAGAAAGTCCGTTTTTGAGGTGAAAGAAGAAGACAAGGGGAAAAGCAGCGAAGCCAAACTAAGGTGATTCTTGTAGATTCATTCCAGCGATGGTGCGACTGAAGCAGACGAAGGAGTCTAAAGACTGAACCACTGGTCACAAATTATCCCTGGACAGAAAACTTCTGCTTATTATGAAAACCTACTTTATTTCCAAGAGCGACACAAACGTTTTTCAGGACACGAAAGCGATATCCTATGTCTGAAAACGTAATTTTCAAGGCAAAGAAAGAGTCCACTTGCTGCTGCGTGTTGTAGCTAGTTCATTCGCACGGAATCTCCGCGCACCGCTCCCCTCTCCTCTCCTCTCTCCCTGCTCGGCTCTTCCCCTCGCTCCTCACTTCTCCGTCTTGCCTAACCAACACTGTAGTTAGTTGTTTACAAGTCATGTGCAGCGGCTGTAAACAAACCTGTTTGTGGCGTAAGGAGGAGGCGGGAGGAGGTGTTTCTACGTAGGAGCTGTGGGGGAGGGGAGGTGGTTTCACGCAGGAGCAACATTTGAAAAAGGACAAACAGTCGCTGGATTCTCGTTCCTTGGAAAATCCTCTATACAACCTTTAAGAGTTGTTTTTGATTGCACAAGCTCGTATCAAGGCTCATCACTGAATAAAGAACTTCTTCAAGGTCCTGACCTGACCAATACACTTATTGGAGTTCTGTTAAGATTTCGTAAAGAAAAGATTGCTGTTATGGCCGACATAGAAGCAATGTTCTATCAAGTCTTTGTTAATGAGAATCAGAGACAGTTTGAGATTTCTTTGGTGGCCTGATGGTGACGTACACAAGGAGCCAGAGGTCTACAGGATGAGAGTTCACCTTTTTGGTGCTGTGTCATCTCCAAGTATTGCCAACTTTGCACTACGCCAAACTGCAGAGGACAACAAAGACAAATATGATAAAGTGATCAGTGAAACTATTAAAGACAACTTCTATGTTGACGATTGCCTCAAATCAGTGCCAACTGAGAACCAGGCCATCAGCAACAGTAATGCAGTGATTGAAACAATACCTGAGTCCCATCGAGCCGCTGTTGTGAAGGAGCTAGACCTGGACAAAGACAGTCTGAAAGAAGCACATGCAGTGGAGAGAGCACTCGGGACACACTGGAGTCTCAAAAGTGACACATTTACCTTTAAAGTAGCGCTGAAGAGTCGCCCTGCAACAAAGAGCTATTCTGTCTACATCAGCTCAGTCTATGACCCACTTGGTTTCCTTGCTCTGTTTGTGCTCAAAGCTAAGCAGATCCTACAAGAACTCTGTAAATCCAAGTGTGGTTGGGATCAAATCATCCCTGATGAGTTTTCAAAGCCCTGGCAAAGATGGTGTGATGAGTTAAATCAGCTGAATGGATTTAATGTGCAGAGATGTTTAAAACCTCCAAACTTTGACCCTGTACACAAAGCTGAGCTCCGTCATTTCTGTGATGCAAGTGAATCGGGCTATGGCAGTGTAAACCACATCAGACGTACAAACCACCAGGGTGACGTCCATCTTGCTTTTGTGTTTGGAAAAGCCAGAGTAGAACCCATCAAACAAATCACCACGACTGGAACTGACAGCAGCCACACTAGCAGTAAAAGTCGACCGGATGCTGAAACGAGAGCTACACATGCCTCTCAAAGAGTCAACCTTTTGGACCGACAGCACATCTGCACTGAAATATATTAACAACCAAACCAAGAGATTTCATACATTTGTGTCCAACCGTATTGCACTTATCCCTGACCTGTCCCACACAAGACAATGGAGACATGTCAACTCAAAGAGAAAAACCTGCAGATGATGGGTCACGGGGCTTAAGTGTGGAGTCATTCCTGAAGTCAAAATGGTTAAAAGGCCCTTTTCTGGAGAAAAACATGAGCGAGTGGCCAAAATCCCCACTAGATCCAGGAGAGAAATCACCAGATGATCCTGAGGTGAGAAAGAACATCACAGTTAACACACTGAAAGTGGAAAGCACAGATCCTATCTGCTCATTGATAAGCCACTATTCTTCATGGAACAAACTGCTGAGAGCTGCAGCATGGATGTTACAGGGGAAGAAAACACTGTTAAATAAGAGTCATTGTTGTGCCCTTTTTGTTTGAGGAGGTTTGTAACTCACGTAAAAAAATCAGCACTTGTGGAGACCCAGATCTGTTTATCCATTTATTTTAAAGAACAAAAAAAAATAAAAAAATAAAAAAAATTATAATAATAATAATATTCTCCGTGGGTTGACTTTACTTTTAATATAACTGTGTGTGTGTGTGGTGTGTGTGTGTGTGTGTGTGTGTGTGTGTGTGTGCGTGTGTGTGTGTGTGTGTGTGTGTGTGTGTGTGTCCACGGGCTCTGCCTCCCCCCTGCTCCTACAGGTGACAACATCTACCTGATTACAGGAGGAATATAAAAAATCCATAATAAACAAAAATGAATAACTTCTATAAAAACTGGCTAAAAAAAAGTCTTTTTGTCTCAAGTCGTTTGTCTCTTCTTGTCTCTCAGTCGTGTCTTTTTGTCTCAGTCGTGTTTTTGTCTCAGTCGTTTGTCTCTTGTCTGTCTGTCTTTTTGTCTCGTCGTGTCGTCAGTTTTGGTCTTTTGTCTCAGTCTCAGTTTTTGTCTAGTTTTGTCTCTTGTCTCAGTCGTTTGTCTCTTGTCTCAGTCGTTTCTTTTTGTCTCAGTCGTGTCTCTTTTTGTCTCAGTCGTGTCTTTTTGTCTCAGTCGTTTTTGTCTCAGTCCGTGTCTTTTTGTCTCAGTCGTGTCGTCTGTCGTTTTGTCTCTTTTTGTCTAGTTTTGTCTCAGTCGTTTGTCTTTTTGTCTCAGTCGTGTCTTTTTGTCTCAGTCGTTTGTCTCTTTTTGTCTCAGTCGTTTGTCTCTTTTTGTCTCAGTCGTTTGTCTCTTTTTGTCTCAGTCGTTTGTCTCTTTTTGTCTCAGACTTTTTGTCTCAGTCGTTTGTCTCTTTTTGTCTCAGTCGTTTGTCTCTTTTTGTCTCTTTTGTCTCTGTCTCTTTTTGTCTCAGACGTTTGTCTCTTTTTGTCTCAGTCGTTTGTCTCTTTTTGTCTCAGTCGTTTGTCTCTTTTTGTCTCAGACGTTTGTCTCTTTTTGTCTCTGTCTCTTTTTGTCTCAGTCTTTTTGTCTCTGTCTCTTTTTGTCTCAGACTTTTTGTCTCTCTTTTTGTCTCAGTCGTTTGTCTCTTTTTTGTCTCAGTCGTTTGTCTCTTTTTGTCTCAGTCGTTTGTCTCTTTTTGTCTCTTTTTGTCTCTTTTTTTGTCTCTCGTTTGTCTCTTTTTGTCTCAGTCGTTTGTCTCTTTTTGTCTCAGTCTGTTTGTCTCTTTTGTCTCAGTCGTTTGTCTCTTTTTGTCTCAGACTTTTTGTCTCAGTCGTTTGTCTCTTTTTGTCTCAGTCGTTTGTCTCTTTTTGTCTCTGTCTCTTTTTGTCTCAGTCGTTTGTCTCTTTTTGTCTCTGTCTCTTTTTGTCTCAGTCGTTTGTCTCTTTTTGTCTCTGTCTCTTTTTGTCTCAGACGTTCCGGGACCTGAAGGATCGTCAGATGTTGCTTCAGTATCGAACCAAAGTGGAACCAGGATCAACCGAAGACCAAAAGATCCAAGACCTGCTCAACAACTCGGTAAGACCGGGACCAAGACTGGGACTGGGACTAGAACTAGACTAGATTGGGACTGGGACTAGATTAGATTAGACTGGGACTGGACCAAAACTGGGATTGGATTAGACTGGGACTGGACTAGATTAGACCGGGACTTGGACTGGGTCTGGGTCTGGGACTGGGTCTGGGACTGGGACTGGGTCTGGGTCTGGGACTGGGTTTAGACTAGACTAGACAGGACAGGACTGGGACTTGGACTGGATTTAGACCTGGACCTGGACTCCTGCGGTGACGTTTGTTTTCTTTGTTTTTTTTGCAGCAGATTCGATGGAAAAACTGAAGCTTCAACTGTTTTTGGTTTTTTGGTTTTTTTTGTGTCAAATGTGAAAAAAATAAAGAAACGACTGAATCCAGAAACGAGAGTCGAGTCTGACGCCGACGCGACGCCGACGCGACGTCTGTTCCGCTCTGAGCACAAATACATTTAAAATCAAACTCAAACTCTGATTAAAAAAACTCTTTATTTAAAATTGTTGTTGTCAGATCAAACGGCAGCGGCTGATTGGTCGACGGCAGTGCACAAAAACAAGTTTAACCTGAGATAAAAACACATTCAAACATTTCCCATTTATAAAAAACAAAAATCACAGAGACTGACAGACGGCTCGACCAATCAGACGTCGACGGGTCAGTTTCGGGGGTCGGGCGGGGGTCAGAGGTCAGAAGGGCTCTTTGTGGATGAACCTGGAGAAGACGGCGAAGGCGGCGGCCGGTTTGTCCGTGGGAACCATGTGACCTGAGCCCTGAGGACAAACGAGAAGCAAAAACCAAGAATGAAGAGAATCGTCCTCTCATCGTCATCGTCGTCGTCCTCGTCACATAAATTCTCCTTCATCTCGGGAATAAATGTGAAAAATCCTGAGGTGAAAATGTCCCTCTGACCTTATTTGTCACTTCCTGTTCTGAAGGCCGAGCACAGGAAGTGACAAATAAGGTCAGAGGGACATTTTCACCTCAGGATTTCTCACATTTAAAAAATAAAAATAAATATAAATTATAAATATAAAAATTTAATATAAATTTAAATTAATTATAAATTATAAATAATAGATATAAATATTTGTTAGTTTGAGCGACTGGAGGCTGAAATCTGAAACTTTTATTTAAACAAAAAACAAACTCAAATCATTTTGTCTGTTTCACACTGGAGTTAAACTCTTCTCTTATAGAACTATAGTACTCTAGTACTGTAGTAATACTCTAATAGTACTACAATAGTACTATAATTATACTTATACCTTGACGGTGGTTAGTATATCGTAGTACTCGTAGTACTCTAGTAGTAGTAAATTGGAAACTGTGTCTCAGATGACATGGCCCTGACCTGTGGGGTGCCTCAGGGGTCAATCCTGGGCCCCCTGTTGTTCAATCTCTACATGCTGCCCCCTACAGGTCAGTTAATAAGCAGCAATAACGTGTCGTACCACAATTATGCAGACGACACTCAGATCTACGTCTCTCTGCAGCAGGAGACTATGGACCAGTGGAGTCACTTGGTCACTGCATCCAACAGATCAGTGTGTGGAGGCAAAACAACTTTCTCCAGCTAAACTCTGACAAGACTGAAGTCATAGTGTTTGGTCCACAGAAACAAAGGGACAGTGTCAGCATCACCTCCAGTCTCTCTCTCTAAAACCTTCAAATCAGGCAAGAAATCTAGGGGTAATAATGGACTCAGACTTGAACTTTAACAGCCACATCAAATCAATAACATCTGCAGCCTTTTACCATCTAAAAAACATAGCAAAAATCAAAGGTTTACTGTCTAAATCAGACTTGGAGAAACTTATCCATGCGTTTGTCTCCAGTAGGTTAGACTACTGTAATGTTCTGCTCACTGGTCTCTCCAAACGAGCTGTGAGACGCTGCAGAACATCCAGAACGCTGCAGCTCGGGTCCTGACTCGAACTAGGAAGTACGAGCACATGTGTCCTGGTCTCAGGTCTCTGCACTGGCTCCTGTGGCTCAGAGACTTTAAAGCAGCTCTGTTTGTACAAGTGTCTCCATGGTCGAGCACCAAAGTCCATCTGTGACATGTTAGTGTCATATGAACATCTCACACTCTGAGGAGCTCAGGGACGACCTCCTGCTGGTGCCAGAGTCACGACTAAACAAGGGGAGTCAGAGTTTCAGGTTCATGCAGCTAAAACCTGGAACAGTCTGAACATGTGAGACAGACTCTTCTGTGACGCTGTTTAAATCCAGACTCAAAACATTTCTGTTTAACTGTGCAAATAACTGAAAGGTTTTCATTCCGCACTCTTCTCTCCAAT